ACTATTTCCAACTGTGTATATCCACATGCAGAAAAATGAATCAACACTGACCATACATTTTCCCCTAAAATTAACACAAAATGGATCATAGCTCTAAATGTAAAATGCAAAAATACAAAACTTTTAGGAGAAAACATATGAGAAAATCTGAGTAACCTTGAGTTTGGTGATGAGTTGTTACATACAACACCAAAAGCATGATCCATGGGAGAAAAAGTCAATAAATTGGACTTCATGAAAAGCAAACACTTATGCTATGTGAAAGACTCTGTTAGGAGAACGAAAAGACCAGTCACAGAATGGGAGAAAATATTTGCAAGACACACATGTGATAAAGAACCTTATCCAAAATATACAAAGAATCCTTAAAACCCAACAAGAAAACAAACACTTCAAAAAGCAGATAAAAGCTCAGTATCACATGTTGTAAGAGAACTACAAATTAAAATGATTATGAGACTACTACACATCTACTAGAACGTCTAAAATCCAAAACACTGACAAAACCACATGCTGCTAAGATATGGAGCAACAGGAACATTCATTTAGTGCTGGCAGAAATGTAAAATGGTATAGACATTTTGGAGGAGAGTTTGGCAGTTTCTTACAAAAGTAAGCATAGTCTTATATAATCCAGCAATCACATTCCTAGGTATCTACCCAAATGAGTCTAAAACTTAAATCTGCACAAAAAGCCTGCATATGAATGTTCATAGCTGCTTTACTGAAATTTGTCAGAACCGGAAGGCAACCAAGATGTTCTTTGATAGGTATATGGATAGACAAAACTGTGGAACATCCATACAATGGAATACACAGAGATAAAACGAAATGAACTATCGAGCCCCCAAAAGAAATGGAAGAACTTTAAGTGCATATTGCTAAGTGAAAAAAGCCAAAATGAAAAGACAACGCACTCTATGATTCCAACTATGTGACATTCTGGAAGAGGTAAAACTATAGGGACAGTTAAAAAAAAAATCAGTGGGCCGGGCACGGTGGCTCGCACCTGTAATCCCAGCACTTTGGGAGGTAGAGGTGGGCAGATCACTTGAGGCCAGGAGTTCAAGACCAGCCTGGTCAACATGGCAAGACCCCATCTCTACTAAAAATACAAAAATTAGCCGGGTGTGGTGATGTATGCCTGTAATCCCAGCCATCTGGGAGGCTGAGGCATGAGAATCTCTTGAACCTGGGAGGTGGAGGTTGCAGTGAGCAGAGATCACGCCAGTGTACTCCAGCCTGGGTGACAGAGTGAGACTCTGTCTCAAAAAAAAAAAAAAAATAGTGGTTGCCAGGGGATTAGGGTAGGGAGGAGGATGAATAGGTGGAGTACAGGGGCCTTTTAGAGCAGTATATGATATGGTAATGGTGGATATAGGACACTACGTATTTGTCAAAAACCCATACAACTGTACAACACAAAGGGTGATTCCTTATGTAAACTATGGATTTTAGTTAATAATTATAATGTATCAGTATTAATTCACCAATTGTAACAAATACACCACACTAACACAAAGACGTTAATGGTAGGCAAAACTGCGTGTGGGAGGGAGAAGGGGTAAAAGGGAATTCTCTGTATTTTCTGTTTAATGTCTCTGTAAATCTAATACTGCTCTAGTAATTAATAATAGAAATACTAAACCTGAATGAAAGGTCTGGTTGTGTAACTGAGGCTTGCTGACTGATGCAACTCCATGTAGAGTGACAGGACAGCTAGCCAGCCTTTTTCTTGAGGAAAACCTGAAGCATCAATCTATTTAGGGTTTATTTCTCTGAGATCATTCAGTGTCTCAAGAAAATGAACCTGTCTCCTTCGTGGGAAGTGAGTGCGTCTGATGGCTGCTGGAAGGGGGAAGAGGAGCACAGGGAATCCTATCAGCAGACTTTCCCCAAATCCTCATTTTCAACCCTGTGTTTTACTCCCCTCCCCTTGTGTCTGAGTCATTCCTCTGCTAAAAATCTTGATGACAACTGATTTTAGAATAAAATCCAAATTCCTTATCATGAATTACCAAGCAATTAAAGACACAGTCCCTGCCTATCTCTCAAATTTCAGCTCCGTGATTTTTCTTTATTCTTATCCTATGTTCTGAGTACACTTAAAAAACTTGTAACTTCCCAAATGTATCATGCTTTCACCTCAAAGTCTTTGTGTATATACAATAAATCCTACCTCCTTTCTTTCCTTGATTTCCTTAGACTCTTTTAACAATCAGACATCTCCTCTTCCAGGAAATCTTTCCAAATTCCCTAGTCTGTTTCAGGTATACACTTTTATTGGTACTCCTTTGGTCATATATAGTCATAAATACAACTCAATCTAACTTACTCAAAAAAGTTAATTATTGTAAAGATGCTAGGGTATTTCACAGATCTAAAAAGAGGAATGCTAGTAAGTCTCAAGAGTCACAATGAAGGACTGATGTGCATCAGCTTTTTCTCCCCAGGTCGCCTCCTCTCCCGGTCTCTATGCCTTGAATCCTCTTTATACATTTATCCATTGGTGTGTCTCTTCTTAGAGTCTACTACATTCGTCTCCTTCTCTCTACAGATTATGCTTTTTCACTCTTCCAGTCCATATAATGGAAAAACAGGAACTGTCCACTCCTGAAATTTGTACCTGATGTAATCCAGACTTAATGAGTGACTTATAGGTCTTTTCCAAGTTCAGTTCTAAAATGTCCTGGAAAGCACACCGATCGGCCTTGTTTAGGCCATTTGCTCACCCTGAGTCAATCAGCTGGACACAGGAGGCAGGGTGACACTTTCCCATGGCTGCTCCTGCTCTTATGCAGATTAAGTATAGAAATGTAGGTATGGCAATTATCCTATATTCAGAGCAGATAATCCTGAAGGTGGCCACTATTACTTGCATTGAGCCCTATGAATAGTTGTATCAGAACATTTTTTTGTCTCTCAAATAAGAGCTCTTATGGGTTCAGAACTATGCCTTTCATCTAAACAGCATAATGTACAATTAATATATTTAATTAATAATGAACTCAAAAGACCAGGGACATAAACAAATAAAAAAAGCTTACATGACATAAAAAAAGAATACGAATTAGGAAGTGAGAGACTTAGGGGGTGGTCCAAGTTCTGCTGCTAATGATAGGTTAAGAACTCAACTTCTCTATACTTCAGTTTCCTCTTTCTTCAACAGAAATGTTTATAGTAGCCCTGCCTACCTCAAGAGATTGTTGTGGGCTTCAAATGAAATGATATCTGTGAAAGCACTTTGAAAAATAAAAATATCTGTACAAATATAAGGTAGCATAATTACAGTAATCACAAACATGCAAATGAGGAATTTAAGAAATAGCATACCTTCCTGATAAGTGGGAGTTAACAACCATTGAAAGTAGAAAATGATAAGAAAAAATTATAATGAATGCCAGTATAACTCAAAATAAAGTGAAAATTTTCAAATATCAAGAGACTTCTAGGTTCCAAAGTCTTGAAATATAAAAAACTTTAAAATCATGTTTTTGTCAAGAGAAAAACATGTTTTTGTTATAATTTACATACCATAACATGTGGTTAAAGCTCAATGGGAAGCAAAATGTATAACACAGAGAGAACCCATTTGGCTTTACGATTTCATTTCTTCTAACTTATTTGGAAAAGTATTCCTGCCCTTTGGATACATTACTTTATATATGATCAGAAACCTCATAAGTAATGTGCTTTAAAATGGATATGTGAAGCAGTCTATATCAAAGAATTATTCAACACATGATAACTGTTAAGATCAAATTAAATAATACATGTAAAAATGTATTCTGGCTGGGCACAGTGGCTGCCGCCTGTAATCCGAGCACTTTGGGAGGCCGAGGCAGGCAGATCACCTGAGGTCAGGAGATCGAGACAAGCCTGACCAACATGGAGAAATCCTGTCTCTACTAAAAATACAAAATTAGCCAGGCATGGTGGTACATGCCTCTAATCCCAGCTACTCGGGAGGCTGAGGCAGGAGAATCGCTTGAATCTGGGAGGCGGAGGTTGCAGTGAGCCAAGATCACACCATTGCACTCCAGCCTGGGCAACAAGAGTGAAACTGTCTCAAAAAAAAAAAAAAAAAAGCATTCTAAATGATAGTATACCATGTGATGACAAAGACTACAGGATGTAGTCTTCTTTATCAGAAAAGCCCCAGAAGCTTAATATCAGATGGGAAGGAGAGCTTGGTGAGTCTTAAAAGAGAACTGATAGGAACACTCTTGATTGAATAAAAATCATTTGAAAATTATAAGGACTAATGGCATCATATTATGGTTTGTTTTGTGTGTGTGTGGGGGGGGGGCAGGGTGCATGCACATGTATGCCTATACTGAATAAAGTGAGGAAAGACAAAATGGATTCTGAGTATGATTCCTATTGTTTCCCCAAGAATGCTCACAGGTTTTTTTCTAAAAATGTATCTTGGAGTATTCTGAGTGTTCTCTTTTGATGAAGCTGAGAAGGTTCAGGCTTTTTTGCTGAAAGAAACAAACTGAAATGATGCTTCCTACAAAAGCTTTGGACACAAAGCCAGCTAGAATTTAGAGTCAAGGATGAGTATTCAAGACAAAAATTATTTTAGGATGAGTTAGAAAGCCTAAATAACAACCAATGCTTAGGAAATCCCTGTATTAATTTTTAGATTCTTTTTGGAATCTAAAAATTATAATCAGCTGGAAAGAAATGATAACTGCCTCCCAGTTATCAAACCAATAGGAAACTTGTATATCTATATCCCAAGGCAACAGGGAATATCTGAAGGCTGCACGCCCTAACTGAAGGTCACCAGCTTATGTCAGGCAAAGTCACACCAATAAAATGACAGAAAAGATTCAAGAATGAGGGTCAGAAGTTAGATATTTACATATTTAGCTATTGCCAAAAATTAGCTGCATTATGCTTGAGATCCCTTTACACATTAGCCCAATTGACTATTATCACTAAAATGTTAGTTGTAATCAATCAATATTTAATATTCACCCCTTTTAACTCACCTGTAAAATTCTTTGCAAGATTGATGGAAGTGCAATAAATGCTGCCATGCTATTTAAAACTTGCATGGTCAAAGATTTCAGAGCTGTTATAACAAAATATTAATATTAAGGTTAGTTTAAAATAAGAGTTTTCAGTTTTTCCTGTAAGTCTGTGGAAAACAGTGGATTTATACAGCTTCTTAGAAACTTAGCTAACCAAGGCCTATTTGAGATTTTAAAATTAACTGTTGACAAGTTATAAAGACTACCATTATTTAAGATAAATTATAGGAGTGGAACAACAGAAAGAAATATAAAAGATGAGATCAACCATACTGTATGGTTTCATTAAGGAAAATCGTAAGAATATGCTATTGGAAAAAGATACTATCCTGATAGTTTCTGCAGACAAATATTGGATTGATGATATAGGTGGACTCAGTCATTTGAATTCTGAAGAACTTACCTTCAGAGTGTAGATGAGGAATGGCTGAACTGGACAGCTTCTGAGGAGCCATCATTGCCTCCAATAATGGAAACCAAAGTGCCTATGATGTCAGAGAAAATCAAAGAAAAACAGATTTCATTTTTTCATTGGTCAAAGAAAACAATGAAAAACAAAAGAATAACATCATCATACTGTTTTACAGGTTGAAACGTACTTCTCACATACCATTTGTTTGTAAAAATAAGAAAAATAAAAATGGAAATATTTGGGGCAAAAAAAAGAGAGACAATACAAAGCAGAAACCACAGCTAGAACAGGCATCTTTATCATGAAGCCTTGGGAAACATAAGGAGGCCAAAGTTAAGTAAGTCTAGGCCTTGGAACTGCAATCTGACTTGCCTCAGGGGAGGGCAAGTTCAAAGAAGCCAGGAAAGAGCCTCCTGCTAGATTCTTATCTACTCTATTAAAAATTTATCACTGACAAAGTTTAAAACAATCCTATTGCTGCATAAAGAAAAAAACACACCCGCCAGCTGTCCCCCACTCAATTTTCTTTAGCTATGTCAAGCAAGAAAAATGAGTAAAGGTTATCCAAAGTTTTTTCCACATCAAGCATTATCTTATATTTCCCAAGTCATCACGGACCAGAAAATAGAAGTTAAAACTGTATCAGTTAACATGATCAACCATGTTAAGAGATTTAAAAAAAAATCTATCATTTAGTCATATTACATTAATCACTACTAAATGCTTTACATTTACATTTTTGCATTTCAATGTCATAATAACCTTATACAGTAGGTATTATATTCACCAGAGATATGAAATTGAGGCTCACTGAAGTTAAGCAATTTTTCAAAGACCACACAGCCAGTCAATTACCTGACTCTAAATTCTGTGTTCTTCCTAAGCCTTAGGAAAAATATTCATTATAAAAATGAATGGCCAGGCATGGTGGCTCAAGCCTGTAATCCCAGCACTTTGGGAAGCCGAGGCAGGCAGATCACCTGAGGTCAGGAACTCAAGACCAGCCTGGGCAACATGGTGAAACCCCATCTCTACTAAAAATACAAAAAAATTAGCCGGGCATGGTGGCAGGTGCCTGTAATCCCAGCTACTTGGGAGGCCGAGGTAGGAGAATCACTTGTAACCAGGAGGCGGAGGTTGCAGTGAGCCAAGATTGTGCCATTGCACTCCAGCCTGGGCAAGAAGAGCGGGACTCAGTTTCAAAAAAAAAAAAAAAATGAACCCACTGCTGCCCTGCCCCCATGAAGATTCTGCCACCCACCCCTGCTGGTGTGCAGTGCACCCCAAACCACTGCTGTCCATCCTGGCACAAGCATGTGCACCTGTCATGCCACTGTTGCTGCTGGCACACACACACACAAGGATGGACTCCACAGCCACTGCCTCAACAAAGTGCTTTAGCTGGCATCCCCCACTGGAGCATTGTTACCAGCTGACCAGAAACATTTTAGCTCCTCCAATGCAGCAAGTACATAAGTTCGAGGGGCCAGAGCACAAAGCCATAGGTCTGGTCTCAGCCGCTAAGGGTTAGAACAAGCTGCCCAGTAGTGTTGAGCTGAGCCTTGGCCCCCTGAAATCTTCCAGAAATGAAGACAGTTGACTGACCCCACATTATACTACAGTCAAACCTTCAAAGGCATCAAAGAATACAAAAGCAAAAAATGCCATCCAAAGTACAGCAACTTCAAATATTAAAGGTACACCAGCTTATACAGATAAGAACGAACTCTGGAAACTCAAAAAGCCAGAGTTTCTTCTTAATAGCAAACAACCCCACTAATTCCCCAGCAATGGATCTTAACCATGCTGAAATGGCTGAAATGACAGATACAGAATTCAGAATTTGGATAGGAATGAAGATGTTTGAGATGTGGAGAAAGTTGAATTCAAATCCAAGGAATCTTAGGAATCTAATAAAATGATACGAGCTGAAAGAGGAAATAGCCATTTTAAGAAAGAACCAAACTGATCTGTTAGAGCTGAAAAACTCACTACAAGAATCATATAATACAAGTGGGACAATTAACAGCAGAGTAGATCAAGCTGAAGAAAGAATCTCAGAGCTTGAAGACTGGTTCTTCAAATAAAAAATGAAGACGAGTTCTTCAAACAAAAAATAATGACAAAAGCAAAGAAAAAAAGAAAAAAAATGAACAAAACCTCCAGGAAATATGAGATTATGTAAAGGTAGCAAACCTTTGGCATTCCTGAAAGAGAGGGAGAGAGGACAAGCAACCTGGAAAACATATTTGAGGATACTGTCCACAAAAATTTCCCTAACCTCGCTAGGTTCTTGACCTTGAGAGGCTGACATTTAAACTCAGGAAATGCAGAGAACCTTTGTGAGATATTATACAAGACAACCATTACCAAGACACATGGTCATCAGATTCTCCAAGGTTAACATGAAAAAAAAATTAAAGGCCGCTAGAGAGAAGGGGCAGGTCACCTACAGAGGGAATCCCATCAGGCAAACAGTAGACTTTTCTGCAGAAACCATACAAACCAGAAGAGACTGGGGGCTTATACTCAGCATTCTTACAGAAAAAAATTCCAACCCAAAATTTCATATCCAAACAAACTAAACTTCATAAGCAAAGGAAAAATAAAATCATTTTCAGACAATGAATGCTAAGGAAATTCGTTACCACCAGACATGTCTTACAAGAGGTCCTGAAGCTAAACATGGAAACAAAAGACTATTACTGGCCACCACAAAAAACACACTTAAGCACATAGACCACTGACACCATAAAGCAACTACAATGAAGTCTGCACAACAACCAACTAACAACATGATGACAGGATCAAATCTGCACATAACAACATTATTCTTGAACATAAACAGGCTAAATGCTGCCCTTAAAAGGCACAGAGTGGTAAGCTGGATAAAGCAGCAAGATTCAATGGTATGCTGTCTTCCAAGAGATCCATTTTACATGCAATGACACTCATAGACTCAAAGAAAATGGATGGAGAAAAATCTACCAAGCAAACAAACAAACAAAAAAAAAGCAGGGGTTGCTATTCTAATTTCAGACAAAAGAGACTTTAAAACAACAAAGAACAAAAAAGACAAATAAAGGCATTAAATAAGGATAAAGGGCTCGATTCAACAAGAAGACTTAAGTATCCTAATATATATGCACCCAACAATGGAGCACCAGATATATAATACAAGTTCTTAGAAACCTATGAAGAGACTTAGATAACCACACAATAATAGTGGGAGACTTCAATACTCCACTAATAGTATCAGACAGATCATCAAGGCAGACAACTAGCAAAGATACTCAGGACCTGAATGTGATACCTGACCAAATGGATCTAAGTGACGTCTGCAGAACATTCCACCCAATAATAACAGAATATGCATTCTTCCCAACTCTACCTGGCACACACTCTAAAATCAACCACATGATTGGCTATAAAACAATACTCAACAAATTCAAAAAAATGAAAATCATACCAACCACACTCTCTGACCACAATATAAAAAAAAAAAAACAGAAATCAGTACTAAGAAGATCTCTCAAAACCATGCAATTAAATGAAAATTAAACAACTGGATGACTTTTGGGTAAAAACAACGAAATTAATGCAGAAATCAAGAAATTCTTTGAAACCAATGAAAACAAAAATACAACATACCAGAATCTCTGGGACACAGATAAAGCAGTGTTAAGAGGAAAGTTTATAGTGCTAAATGCCCACATTGAAAAGTTAGAAAGATCTCAAATTAACAACCTAACATCACACCAAGAGGAACTAGAAAAACAAGAGCCAATCAACCCCAAAGCCAGCAGAAGAAACAACCAAAATCAGAGTTGAACTGAATACAATTGAGACAAGAAAAAGCATATAAAAGACTAATGAAACCAAAAGATGATTCTTTGAAAGAATAAATAAGATTGCTAGTAGGAAAAAGAGAGGCCGGGTGCGATGGCTCACAACTGTAATCCCAGCTTTGGGAGGCTGAGGTGGGGAGACTGCTTGAGTCCAGGAGTTCAAAACAAGCCTGGGCAACATTGGGAGACCGTGTTTCTACAAAAACACAAAAGTTAGCAGGGTGTGGTGGTATGTGCCTGTAGTACCCAGCTACTCTATTTGGGAAACTGAGGTGGGAGGACTGCTTGAGCCTGGGAAGCAGATCATATCACTGCTCTCCAGCCTGGGTGACAGAGCAAGACCCTGCCCAAAAAAAAAAAAGAAAGAAAAGAAAAGAAGGAAGGAAAGAGGGAAGAAGAGAAGGAGGGAGGGAGGATGGATGGACGGACAGAAGGATGGATGGAAGGAAGGAAAAGGAGAGAAGATCCAAATAAACGCAGTCAGAAATGACAATGGGACATAACATTGACCCCCAGAAATATTTAAAAAAAAAGAAAACCCTCAGAGACTATTATAAACACCTCTATACACACAAACTAGAAAACCTAGAAGAAATGGATAAATTCCTGGAAACATACAACCTTCCAAGATGGAACCAGAAAGAAATTGAAACCCTGAACAAATCAATATAACAAGTTCTGAAATTGAAGCAGTAATAAAAAGCCTACCAACAAGAAAAAGGCCAGGACCAGATGGATTCACAGCCAAATTCTACCAGACATATAAAAAAAAAAAACCTGGCACCAATTCTACTGAAATTATTTCAAAAAAAGTAAGGATGAGAGACTCCTCCCTAATTTATTCTATGAGGCCAGCATCATTTTGATACCAAAACCTGGCAGAGACACAATATAAAAAAAAAAAAAAGAGGAAAGAAAACATCAGGCTAATACTCCTGATGAACATACATGCAAAGGTCCTCAACAAAATACTAGCAAACCAAATCCAGCAACATTTTCAAAAGCTGACCCACACCCACAAGCATCTGAGCTTTGAAAAAGTTGACCAAAAAAAAAGATAAAGCAATGAGAAAAAGACTCCCTATTCAATAAAGGGTGCTAGGATAGTTGGCTATCCATACGCAGAAGAATGGAACTGGGGAACTAAGTATCACTATATATAAAAATCAACTTAAGATGGATTAGACTTGAATGTAAGACCTCAGAGTATAAAACTATTAGAAGA